GAAAAATTTTAGAAGATTGGGATCCTGGTATAAAATATAAAAGGATCACTATTCTAGATGGTGGTTATGCAGAATGGATAACTCGTTATCCAGCATTTACAACAAATCCTAATATTGTAGAACCTACTTTAGACAATGTCCCAGATGAAATATTAGATAATATAGAATACCCTGAATTGCTACATTTTGACGAAGAAGAGAATGTTATTAAATCACATGAAAATAAATCAATTAAATTAAAACCAATAAGTAATGATGAAATTACATCAAAAGTTAGCATTACAAATGATAAAATGTGGTACAAACATATGGAAACGGAAATAAGTAATAATATTTCAACACGCTCTAAAAATTTTATTGATAGCTCTATTGAAATAGGAAAAGTTCCTAAGGACAATACAAATTTACGACAGTACGATAATTCACTGAAATTTCAACACAAAAGAAATTCATTGAATATTATGAAAAAAAATATTATATCTGCAAAACCAATAGTAGATAGAAGTAATAAACCAATTTCTTTGGACACGTCTACATCCGAATCGAAATCAGTTTTGAAATTAATGAAACAATTAAATGAATTAGCAAAGAGTAAACAAGAATTGGAACAAGAAATTTTAGAACAAGAACGCACTTTGTACATGCAACATGGTATGAAATATAAAAGTTCAAATGAAGAAGAATATATTCATAATAATGTAAAATCTTTATGTTTAAAATTGGAAGAAAAGGTAAATTAAATAAAATAAATTAATTAAATCATTATCATTTAATTAATAAATAATTGCTTTTTACAGCAAAAAGAGTACAAGAAAATTGAAGATGAACTTACTAAATATTATGCAAAGATAGAATCAATTAAATTCAATCCTGCAGAAGAAAATGAAAAAGGAAATCTCGAATTTACTCTCGCTTTATTAAAACGTCGAATGAAAGATACTTCTGCGGATCGAAAAAAATTACGAGAGTGAGTATAAAAATATTATGTTAATTATTGCAATATATTATATATTATATATTTTTTATTACCAGAATATCAATGAAAAATAATTACAAAGAATTGTCGATAAAAGAAAATGAAACTAACATTCACAAGGAACCTCTAAAATCAGATAATTCTTCAATGGGAAGCAATTTAGAACGTTCATATTCTAGTCCAAATTTATTACAGGTAAATTCTTCTAATTAATTCCATTTGCACTGAAATAATGTGTCTTGCTTATTCACAGTTATTTATTTGTATTAGATTTATAAACAATATGTTACATATAGTGATCATTATTTATCCCAGATAAAATGTACATAATATTATATTTTATATTAATATTATATTTGTGAATCAATACCAGCGCAAATAATTAAAAAAATAACTTAAAAAATAGATAAACAATTTTTTTATTTTTTTTCTTTTATAAAATATTCAGTTGACAGATCGTAAAGCACCACAAATAGATAGAAGTTCGAAGCCACAAGTCTCATCGTACAATCAAAATGGAACTTATGGTGATAATAAAGTATCTCATTTAAGTTGGGCAAATCGTGAAGAAAGAATGACACCTGTTCATGGAAGTGTAGTAAGTATCTATGGTATTCAAAAATTAAAAAAAAAAAAAAAAATTGAAATTTTTTAAAAAAAAGTTTAAAGAATCAATTCTCATTTATATCATTTAAAATTTCATCAATAATCGTTCATAATCACGTGTTTATATTCCACGTGAATGAACTAAAATATTAGATATATATAATTAAACCCTATTTTAATTGAAATATAAATATATATATGTATATATGTATATATATATATAAAATATCAATTAAATGTTAAAATAGTCCGAATATAATTTAAAATTTTACAGTAGAATAAAATTACGTGATTTTTTGATTTTGTTTGAAAAATAAACACGTAAATATAGAAATATTTTCTACTTTCTTCTATGGCTTCTCAATCCAATTTATACTTGTTTAAAGTAACGCGTCATAGTATTTGTCAGTATTTGTTTGATTATCACTAACTATGGTGATATTCATTTCCATAACTAATTAAAAGTTACAATAATATAAAATATTATAACATTGAATTTATAAATATATTAATTAATAAGATTGTGTTCATTGTGCTAATATAGAATGATCAATTATAATTTATTTTTCATTTTCATTTTAAAAGATCTGAAAGAGTATACTTATAATCAAATAAAGTGTAAATGAAAAATGGTAAATTTGTCTAGAAAACTTGTACCGAATTTTAATGTTTATTATTTTAAAAAGGTAATTGATAATTTTCGAATGACATACAATAATGACACGATATTAATAAAGGAAAATATAATTCTTAATTTTTGTTACATAAAAAATCATTAAATAATTTTTTATTATATAAAAGAATCAATGAAATCAGTAAAATGTGAAATATTTGATACAATATATTTTGTATTATCGTGTTACAGCATCCAGGTATTACAGGATTGAAAAATTTAGGCAATTCATGTTATATGAATAGTATTATACAGTGCTTAAGTAATACTACGCATTTAGCTAAATATTTTATGGATAATTTATATGCTGATGACTTGAATATAAATAATGATAATAATACACAAGGCCAAGTTGTAGAAGAAGTAGCTCAAGTGATTAAAGCACTTTGGAGAGGTCAATACAAGAGTATATCACCGCATGATCTTAAGGTTTGATATTTTTTGTTATTTTTTATAAAAAGATTTATAAAATACATAAATAATATTTTTATAAGTAAAAAAAATTAAAAAGATTTTTTTATTTCTAAAATATTAATAAGTATAATGTTTATTCATTTTTTTTTAACTATATACATTATACTTTGAGATTTATATATATGTGTATGTACTAAAATATAATTTATAATTGCTAGATTGCTGTGGGACAATATAAATTACAATTTGAAAGTTATGAGCAACAGGATTCTCATGAATTTCTTACTTTTCTTCTAGATTGGATGCATAATGACTTAAAAAAAGTAATATTCTATTTTGTTACCATTAAATTTCGAAAAAATTTTAATGTAATTTAAATTTTATAACTTTATTTTTATATTCATAGAATTGTAAAGTGCCTCTGGAAATGACAATAGCCGAAAAGGCCTGGGATAAGGCAATGGGATCACAAAGATCCATAATATCCGATTTATTTTTTGGGCAGTTAAGATCCACTATTACATGCAGCTTTTGCAAGCAAAGTAGTACAACATATGAAACTTTCAATAGTTTAACAATGTCATTACTTCATTCCAATCGATGTACATTAAATGTAAACTCGATTTTCAATTTTTTCTTCTAAAGTTTCAAGCAAAAAACAATTTTTTTTCTTGTTCACTAAAAAATTTTTTCATAGGATTGCATCTTAAAATTTGTAAGTGGACAAAAAGTGGTAGGATGGAAATGCCCAAAATGTCAAACACCTCGCGAAGCTACAAAAAAATTTGACTTTGTAAAATTAGCGCCTATCATCGTCATACATTTAAACCGTTTCGCTGAAAGTGGTGGATGGCTCGAGAAACGAAATACTGCTGTCGATTTTCCTCTCACGGATTTCAATTTAAAACCATACTTAGTAGCAGATAATAATAGTACTGCAATTTCAAATATTCGCAGTTATAGTTATAGTTATAGTTTATATGCAATGTCTAATCATTATGGAACTATGGAAGGTGGTCATTATACGGCCTTTTGTAAAAACGCCGTTCAGAATAAGTAAGTAAATTATTTTTTTATTTTTTTATTCATATATTCTCTGTAAAGCTCTAAGGTAATGAACAAAAGAACATAATAATTATTTGAAATAATGTAAGTATGTGATTTATCAAATCTTGATCAAATCTGTGATTTTTTCAGATGGTATAAATATGATGATCAAACAGTTACAGAAGTTTCGGTAAATCAAGTAAGATCTCAGAATACCAGTGCCTATCTATTATTTTATACATCTTTTTCGAGCAATATTATTTAGTATTAACACAAAAAATTAAATGGCTAATTTATTACTTAAACACTCGTGAATGTTTTATGACGATGTAGATAATTGAATATTTTTTGTATGTACATGTATGAATATTAATTATGTGAATGTACACATAGCATCATGTCGGATTTAATTGGTTAGGATATACATATATATGTACATTATATATGTATATATACACACACACACACACACACACACACACACACACACACACACACATACATACACATACACATACACATACACACATCATGCTAATGTAAATAACGTTAAACGGAAAAATTAGATCTTGAAGTATATTGTGTGATAAAAGAGTTAATTTAAATGAAAAAAAAAAGATATATTATAAAAGAACATATTTGACTTTGATTGCACTCTATTTTGTTTATATGTTTTAGTAACTTTGTTCATCTTTATATGTTGTAATATAAATATTTTACGTTCTTTTGCATTTTTGAATATGAATGCCATACATTTCCCGTTTAATATAATTTCATTGTCATGTTAACTTATATTATTAATTTCGTTAACGTATACATTATATAAAATTATTTATAATTATTTCATTAATTCTCATCATATTCTTTTGAAAATGATTAAACTATTCAAAGTATGAATTTTATTTCAAAAGTATAATTACTTTAGTATCTTATGATATACAGATATCAATTTTTTCAGTATTTTGCATCTTATAATATATATTACAAATTTAATACGACATATTATTATATATATAATAAAAAATAAATATAATAAAAGAATAAATAATAATTTTGGGATATATAAATGACTATAAAATAACAATTATTATGTTATAAGGAACTGTTTCTATGATATGAGGAACGTATATTAGAAAAAAAAAGATAAAATATGTATAAAAATAAATTGTGTTTATATATTATCAATACTTATAAAATCATTAAAAGACATAACATTTATCAAATATCTTCATAAAGTGCCATCAATAGTTTGCTTATTTTGTATATGAAATAAATATTTTCAAACTTATGAAGCCCAAAAGCTAGTTTTTATTTGCAGTATTAGTTAACAATCTAATTTTATAATTTTATTTAATAAATATTTGCAAATTTTATTACACAAATTTAAAAAGTTTTCTTATTATTTAATTATAAAATATAAACTTAAATATATAACTTTTTTAAAAAGAAAATAATTTTTAAATATGGAATGTGTTTTTATCAATTTTAAAATATAATTAATTCATCTTGATATGTTTGATAATAATAGTATATAGCGTTATTGAATATGCACAAAATATGGATAAAGTATATAAAACTCAAAATTCTTAAATCAAATTATACAATTCAATTCTGGAATTACTTCTCTAATTCAATATCAATCAATAAAGATCGATCATCTTCAATTTCTAAACTTTGTCGAAAAAGTTGTGCATGTTGCCATGCACAATCACCTTGACCACCAGAAATAGTTGCTGTAAGAATTAACTTTACTGCTCCTTTTACTTGGTCTGTGTAATAATTAGAAATGTCGCTAATGAATAAAACTACAGATTTGTTTTGATTTGCATTATTGAAAAACGCTTCCAATTCCCACGATACATTACCATCATGAAATACTTTACTGATAGCTTGTAAATGAAATATTCTCACGTATAAATTTGGATTTGCGATTACAAAGCACCATCTAATCTTACCAAAAATTGCTGTTGTAGAACGACATAAATATACAATTTTCCAATCGTGTTCTACTTTTCGAAATATTCCACCTTCTATTTCGTTTGTTCCATTTTCCCAACCAGATATATCTGTTAATATTTTACCATCATTATCTTTTATTATGTATATATCTTTAATAATAGAATATTGCAGATGAAATGTTTCTCCATATTCTGAGATATTCCAAACATAATTTTTTTTTACATTTGACTGAAATATTTAATTAAGAAAATTTTATTACATTAGCGATACTATTTAATCAATTAAATAGTAATTAAAAAATAACTATTTCTATATACTTCAGAAATTTCTCCTCTTGCTAATCTCCATTCATAAGAACCAGTAGATCGTCCTTTATAATTCTCATCGTCGTCAAAATTCTGTTTGTTTGGAACATGTATCAATTCTACAAGCTCTAAAAGTCTTCGTTTTATAACATATTGTTTGCGAGAAGCACTATAATTTGGTAAAGACTGACGATATTTATTCAGCGATTCAATGAATTGTAATAGCTTATTTTCAGAACAAATATTCCTTCTATTCATTACAGTTTGTTGATCATGTGTATATCGCCAAGTAACATCTTGTACTTCATCTCTTGAGAAAGCTATTATGTAAGATAATTTTTTTTTCCAACCTTTTTCATACATTAATGGTCTATCCATAACATCTTCACATGGATCTAGATGAATCCATTTTTTTTCATGTATCGACCATACCTAAATTATTAATATATTGATTATTCAATTAATTCAATATTTATTGTACATTTTTTAAAGAATACAATTGTGAAAATATTTTCGAACATAAGGTTTCTATACTGCAATGAGTTAACGAGTACCTTTGTATATATTTTCCATTTACGTAAGGGCAGTGACCATTACACACCTCTGTCCAAATATGATCTGTTCGATCATATATAAATCTTGCATCGTATCCTAATGTTCGACAAAAAAGAGTAAACACATTCGCCCATTCTCCACACCGTCCACGTCTTAAAGTTAACAATGGCTCTGGATCAGAGTAACGAGGGAATTTTACTCGTGTTGCACACTTAGTACATCTAAAATAATATTTAATAAATATTACTAATTATATTTTTTTTAACAAATATTATTTTTATAATTAAAATGTATTAAATTACTTATGTATTTCTATTCGTGAACATCTAGGATCATCAGACAATATTACTTCCTGTTGTTTGCATTCTGAAAAACATGCAGTACATTTTGGACTATCAATCCATGTAAAGAATTTATACTTAAACCAATGCAACAGCTCCATAAGAATAAATCTTTAGCATCATCAATATCATCCTCACTATACTGTTTCATAATATCACTTCCTGAACTAGTTTGATTTACCTTAATATGTCTAAAATAAAAAATTTAATAATTAAAAAAAATAAATTTACTGTAGAAAATCTTTGAATAAAAAATTATATATACTTATGCAATTGTCTAATTCTTGTCATAGTAGCAATTTCAAGATCTACAATAGGTATTACTTTTTTAGCTTTTTCTTGTAAATTTGCATCTTCATATCGTAAAACACTTTGAAAATTATCTATAATAGATTTGAAAAAATTCTTCTCTTCTCCTGTATATGTTGGAGGCATCAAATTATACAATGTTGCATTTTTAACAATAGGTATTTTTGAAAGAGAGTTTTTATTAAGCAATTTCTGCAGAGTTTGTAATTTTGAAAGTGGCGCTTCTGGAGGCAAAGAAAGACAGTCAGTAGTCTATTGAAAAAAAAAAAACATATTACTGTTCAAAATTTGTAACATTTATAATTCATATATATTATTATTTTTATAAAGTAATCGTTTTTATTACCTCGACGAAACCAATGTCAAATAAACATTCAATAGCTCCAAGAGCTGGAAGTAATTTTGCTGTAACTAGCGGATGGTCAAGCCTTACTTCTCGAAATTTTTTATCATTTGGATGTGATAAAATATTTTGACAAACAGTTAATAATGCATTTTCTGCGTCATTTCGTACCTGTTCATCGTTTTCTTTTAATAGATCGAGGGATCGTAACAAATCTTTTTCCATGTTTAAAATACTTTTACACGTGTAAGCTCAAAAAAATATAAATTTACAGATGGAATGCAAGTCACTCAATGAACGTACTTATATGTTTGGTATTCTTAATCGTCTAGTAGCGCTCTTCGCCATAGATAATAAAACTGGATATAACAGAAAAGTGTTTAAAATAATTTTTGTATTTATACATTCATGCATTGGAACAACAACATAAAATTTTTGATTATTTATTATATTTTTATTATTATAAATAAATTTTTGATCATACCTTGATCATATGTAGAAAATTATTATATATATTAAAAATAATAATTACTATCATTATCATATAATGATACATTAACTACTAAAAAACTACTATAAAATATATATACAATTCTAATAACAAATTCACTTACCATAAATAGTGAAAGAAGGCACAGATGAAATACAGAATAGACATGATATGCAATGCTTTTTTGTGCCTTAGAAAGTCGGCTCTTTTACTATTTTCAAGTCACGTGCGACGTTATCGATTCAGTATAGAAACAATTGTAGCCGAAATTAAAATCGAATTTCATTATAAGAATTATAAATAAATTATCAAACAAATTATTTTATGATGAATGAAATATAGATATCTATATTTTTCAACTTCATTATTTTGATAATATAGATGATTATGAAATAATTGATTTGTATAAATTCTGAGCACAATGTCTGTAATTTTTTTCTGGTTTCATGTATTTTCCAATCCCTTTTTCAATTTAATTTTTTGATATTAGATTTC